ATTCCCCAGATAAGGAGTTTTGCCACGGGATAGCCTGCTGGATGGTCACCAGGTGATCTTTGCTCCCTTCTACACTTGACCTTAGCCAAAAGGTCGAGAAGCGATGTCTTTACTCCCTTCTAAATTGCTCATATAAGAAGTTTTTGGGTCAGGTGTGGTGGCTTATGACTGTAATCCTCGCATTTTGGGAGGCCAAGGCAGGTAGATCACTTGAGGTCAGCAGTTTGAAACCAGCCTGGTCAACACGGTGAAACCCCGTCTCTACTAAAAATACAAAAATTAGCTGGGTGTGGTGGTGCATGCCTGTAATTCCTGCTCCTTGGGAGGCTGAGACATGAGAATCGTTTGAACCCAGGAGGCAGAGGTTGCAGTGAGCAACCTAGATCATGCCACTGCACTCCAGCCTGGGTGACAGAGCAAGACCTTGTCTCAAAAAAACAAAACAAAAAAAAAAAGGTCTGTGACTTGGGAATAGAGGTTCAATGCAATATGTCATTATTTGTGATGTTTTTAAAGCCCATAGGATTTATCTAACATTTTTATTTTTATAAAGGAAAATTGGAGACCCACAGAGAAGGAATCTTTCCAATATCCCATGAGCTTTGCTGACAATAAAATTACATATCAAATATTTGTCAGAAGATAAAAGCTCTAGACAGAACCTCTGCTTCTGTATTTTATCTTTTTCTTTTCTTTCTTTCTTTTCTTTTTCTTTTTCTTTTTGAGACAGAGTTTTGCTCTTGTCACCCAGGCTGTAGTGCAGTGGCCTGTCTTCGCTCACTGCAACTGCCGCCTCCCAGGTTCAAGTGATTCTCCTGCTTCAGCCTCACGAGTAGCTGGGATTATAGGTGCACGCCACTATGCCCAGCTAATTTTTGTATTTTATAGAGACAGCGTTTCACTATGTTGGCCAGGCTGGTCTCTGTCTCCTGACCTCAGATGATCCACCCTCCTCGGCCTCTTAAAGTGCTAGGATTACAGGCCTGAGCCACCACGCCCGGTGAGTATCCTTTTCTTTTCTTTTCTTTTTTCTTTCCTTTCCTTTTTTCTCTCTTTTTTCTCTTTTTCCTTCCTTCCTTCCTTCTCTCCCTCCCTCCCTCCCTCCTTCCCTCCCTCCTTTCTTTCTTTCTTTCTTTCTTTCTTTCTTTCTTTCTTTCTTTCTTTCTTTCTTTCTCTCTCTCTCTTTCTTTCTTTCGTTCATTCTTTCTTTCTTTTCTTACCCAGTTGCTCCTGTCCCAATGTTTTTCTGAACTTCTCATGTAGTAAACTCAGCTTGCATTTCAGTGGATGCCATGGTATCTGAAGGGACAACATCCATTGCAGCAGCAGCCGTTTCCTCTGCTGGGAACAAAGTGGCTTGCACTGAGAGAATGTGGAGAACTGTGTTCGTGCTGTGGCCTTGACTCCTGTGTTTTTACTTATTCTGCTGCCTGCTCTTCTTCCCTTCCTCGGGAAGCCTGGGACTCGGTGTGTGGTCAGAACTCCCATTGCCACTCCAGAAATGAACACTGTACTTGTTTTGTAGTAAGAGAGAACTTGTTTCAAATCCTATTTCAGCTACTTACTGTGTGACCTTGTTATGCCAGTTATTCTCTTTGATAGCCTCAGTTTCTATATCTAATGAAATGGACATAATGCCACCACACTCACAGTGGAGGTAAATGTTAGCAATAGTACGAAGCCTAGTGGTTGCCCACATGATGCACACAAACAAGACCCCAGCAAGGCACGTTGTAAGTTGCAGGTTGGATTCTCCGGGAGGCAGACTCAAGCTGGAGAGCAGCAGGCAGGACATTTATAAGAAAGTGCCCTTGGGACAATCACGTGTGTAAGAAAGGGGATGGGAACAGGTCTGAGCAGAGGAAAAAGTTGGGCTGTGATGCAGGCCCAGTGAGGGATCGCAGCCCGCCTCCCAGGGGGAGCTCTAGAGCAAGGAGGACCCCTCAGAGTTATTGCCAGTTGAGGTGAGGGAGCTGGGCCTTCATGTCTGCATGCTGCTGGTAGCTGGATGCTGCTGGCTCTGGAAGTTTTCTCCAGCCAAGGCATTCTCTAAAGAGGGTTGCCAGCTGCGGGTTACAGCAGCCTTTACAGAAGCTGGGGGAATAAGTCCCGTGTTCCCAAAGGGGGATGGGTAGTGCAGCACAGCCGCCATCACTCCGAAGCTCCAGAACCAGGAAGAAAGAACCGATCCTGAAAACCTCCAGAGGGGATAAACACAGCATGCACAAACGGACAGGAATAAGAATGACATCAGAATTCTCACAAGCACCTTTGGAAGCTAAAAGGCAATAGAGAAATGCCTTCAAAATTCCCATGGAAAGTGATTTCTAACCTAGAGTTCTATTCTGAGCCAAACTATCAATCAATGTGAGGATACAATAAAGACATTTCAGAGATGCAGTTTTGACTTCTTTTTCTTTTTACTTTCCATGCCCTGTTTCTCAAGAAGTAATTGAGCAAGGGATCCAGAAAGCAGAGGATCTGCCAGGAAGGTCGCAGGGAAGTGTGAGCAGCAGCCCTGACAGCAGCAGGGAGCCTGAAACGGAGGCTGGAGGGCCCTGGAGGGAAGGTGTCTCCTGTTTCAGCCATAGAGTGTTTATATCAATAGTGAAATTATAAAGAAAAATGAAAAAGTGATTTAAAAGTCAGGATACAGTTAACCTCTAAAAAGGAGGTGTGGACTGTAATGGGGCAGGAGCTTCTGAGGTGCTGGCAATGTTTTGTTTTGTGATCTGAGTTTGTTTTGAAATATGAATGTTTGCTGTATAACTATTTGTAACTTCCTCTCTCTCTATATATATATACACACACATGTATACATAAACACACATTCTGTTTTCTGTGCATATATTGTTACATAAATTATTTTTAACATAAATTCAAATAAAATAAATAACAAATGGAAAGCCCTCAACACAGTGCCTGGCCTGACATATAGCACATGTTCAGTAAGCATTATTTGAATATTCTGCTCCTCCACCTCCTCCTCCTCCTCTCCATCTTCCAGATCCTGACATCATGGTGCTATCTCGGCTCACTGCAACCTCCGCCTCCAGGGCTTAAGTGATTCTCATGCCTCAGCCTCCCAAGTAGCTGGGACTATAGGTGCCTGCCACCATGCCTGGCTAATTTTTGTATTTTTAGTAGATACAGGGTTTTACCATGTTGGCCAGGCTGGTCTTGAATTCCTGGCCTCAAGTGATCTGCCCACCTTAGCCTCCCAAAGCGCTGGGATTACAGGTGTGAGCCACCATGCCCAGCCTGCCATCCACTGTTGAATAAGTGCTTTCAGCTCTTGGTTTCAATGTAGGCCTCTTTAAGAATCGTGTGAGATGTATTCTAGAGTAGCAGAATATATTCTAGAGTAGCAAAAGGGGAAGGATTAATTCTTGGCCAGGAAATAGTTTTATGTTTGCACTGACAAAAAAAATTGAATCCAGAGCTTCCCGTTCTGAACACATATCACCACCAGAAAGAAAAGGAAGACATTTTATATTTTCTATTTTCTCTAGTTCTTTTATTGCTGCCAAGTGAGTGGTAGGATGGGAAAATCTGCTATCCTATGTCTCCTTTCTTACGTGTTGATTTTTTTTTTCCTTGGTTGAGGGGACAGGGTCTTGTTCTGCACTCCAGGCTGGAGTGCAGTGGTGTGATCAGGTTTACTGCAGCCTCCATCCCCTGGGCTCAAGCAATACTCCCACCTCAGCCTCCTGAGTAGCTAGGACTACAGGCATGATCCACTGTACCTGGCTAATTTTTTATTTTTTATTTTTAGTAAAGATGAGTTCTCACAATGTTGCTCCTGAGTTCAAGTGATCCTCCCACCTCAGCCTCCCAAAGTGCTGGGATTACAGGTGTGAGCCACTGCATCTAGCCTGAAGCTGATTTTTCTTTTCTTTTCTTTTTTTTTTTTTTTTGAGATGGAGACTCGCTCTGCTGCCCAAGCTGAAGCGCAGTGGCACGATCTTGGCTCACTGCAACCTCCCCGCCTTCTGGGTTCAAGTGATTCTCCTGCCTCGGCCTCCCGAGTAGCTGGGATTACAGGCCCTGGCCAGTACGCCCGGCTAATTTTTGTATTTTTAGTAGAGACGGGGTTTCGCCACGTTGGCCAGGGTGGTCTTGAATGCCTGACTTCTGGTGATCCACCTGCCTCAGCCTCCCAAAGTGCTGAGATTACAGGCATGAGCCACTGAGCCCGGCCTGATTTTTCTTAATACTTCAGTGTATCCTAGAATCTGTGTTGTGAAATGAAACAAAACAAAACAAAACAAAAAACAAAACAAAACAAAACAACTTCAGTGTAAACCTGGAACCAAGGAAGGTGTTTTCTGGGGGCTACTGTTCTCATGAAGAACTTGTAACTATGAAATTCTTTTTGAAATTTCAGATGTAGAATCTGGGCGTGGTGGCTCACACCTGTAATCCTGGCACTTTGGGAGGCCGAGGTGGCGTGTGCCTATAATCCCAGCTACTCAGGAAGCTGAGGCACGAGAATTGCTTGAACCCAGGAGGTGGAGGTTGCAGTGAGCCAAGATTGTGCCACTGCACTCCAGCCTGGGTGACAGAGCATGACTCTGTCTCAAAAAAAAAAAAAAGAAATTTCGTATGTAGCTTTGCATGGCCTAATGTGTTGACAGTTTGCTTGTTCTCAGTGATGTTGAAAATGTGGATATACTTATTGCATAAATGATTCCTTATTGCAACAGTATCGCAAGGAAGACCAATGAGAAGAATAGCTATCATTCTCCTAGGTGTTTATTTTATTTATTTTTTTTGAGACAGAATTTCACTCTGTTGCCCAGCCTGGAGTGCAGTGGTGTACCCTTGGCTTGCTGCAACCTCTGCCTCCCCGGTTCAAGTGATTCTCCTGCCTCAGCCTCCCGAGTAGCTGGGATTACAGGTGCCCGACACCATGCCTGGCTAATTTTTGTATTTTTAGTAGAGACAGGGTTTTGCCTTGTTGGCCAGGTTGGTCTCAAACTCCTGACCTCAGGTGATCCACCCGCCTTGGCCTCCCAAAGTGCTGGGATTACAGGCATGAGCCACCGCACCTGACCTCTCCTAGGTGTTTTAAACACCCTGCCTTGGACTAGTGGGTAAAGGTTAAAAGGAGAGAGGACTCAGGACGGGAAAGGGCTTTACCTGATGGAGACAAGATGCTCAAGAACAGTAGTGGGAATGTGGTTGGTTTGGAGAGAGCTGGTTCCAAGTGGAAGATGCTACAGGGAGGACAGCAGAGTCACCCGTTGTGCCGAGGACAGCCTCTGATCTTTGAGGACAGCCTCTGATCTTTGAGGACAGCCTCTGATCTTCGAGGACAGCCTCTGATCTTCGAGGACAGCTATCATTTGCCTCTGAGAACCACATGAACCCTAACACGAAAACATCTAAGGAGCAGAAACTTCGGGGGAACACTTTCTGTCTCCTCTTATTCTCATTTAATAGGGAATCAGCCTGGTAGAAGGGAAAGCGATCTAGACCAGGAGTCTGGAGGCCCAGGCTCAGCTCTGCCTTTAAACAGTTGCATGTCTTGGTCAAATAATTTCCCTTCTCACGCATCTTTTTTTTTTTTTTTTTTATTCTGTCAAACCAGATTGCTGGGACTAGATCATCCCCGAGATCCCTTCCAGCTTTGACACTCTGTGAGTCTAATATCCTGAAAAAGTGGTGTAAGAAGTTGCATAGCTACCAAAAGGAGCATGCAGGTGCTGAGTCAGGCAGACCTGAGTTTACATCCAGTGCCAGCTCTTACTAGGTATGTGAACTGTGACAGTTATTTCACTGGTCTCAGCCTGAATTCCCAGATCTATAAAATTGGTGTAGTACTTGCCGGGCATGGTGGCTCACACCTATAATCCGAGCACTTTGGGAGGCCAAGGCGGGCAGATCACCCGAGATCGGGAGTTCAAGACCAGCCTGACCAACATGGAGAAACCCCATCTCTACTAAAAATACAAAATTAGCCGGGCATGATGGCACATGCCTGTAATTCCAGCTACTTGGGAGGCTGAGGCAGGAGAATCGCTTGAATCTGGGAGGCGGAGTTTGTAGTGAGCTAAGATTGTGCCCTTGCACTCCAGCCTGGGCAACAAGAATGAAACTCTGTCTCAAAAAAAAAAAAAAAAAAAATTGGTGTACTACCTACAATGCAGGTCTGTCATGAGGATGAAATGAAACAGTGCATGTCCCTGTTTCCCAAATTGTGTGTCGAGGCACCCTGAGACTTGGCAAGGAACTTACATGAGTACAACCATGGCATATTTCAAAATTTTGAGGGAACCACAGTGACACATGTTGAGTACCAAACGTATTTCAATTCAATGTTAGATTGTGCTATATTCCTTTATGCCCTGATGTATCTTCAAAAAGCCAGGGTTTTGATGTGACAAAAGGCAAGTACCTTGTAAAAATTGAGATGGAACAGAAAGCGAGGGTGGTGGTGTCCAATCTAATTCCAAGGTTTAAGAAGTTGAGCAGTGTGTAATAGGTGCACACATCTCATTAATAAGTAACTAGGGCAGCCGGGCGCAGTGGCTCACGCCTGTAATCCCAGCACTTTGGGAGGCCGAGGTGGGTGGATCACGAGGTCAGGAGTTCGAGACGAGCCTGACCAACATGGCAAAACCCCATCTCTACTAAAAATACAAAAATTAGCCGGGTGTGGTGGCACACGCCCAGTTACTCAGGAGGCTGAGTCAGGAGAATCGCTTGAACCTGAGAGCTGAGATCACCTGGGATGCGACCGCCAAACTAAATAATCACTTTTCCAGGGTCCCTTTGTCTTTTTCTTTCTTTTTATTCTTCTTTGAGACAGAGTTTCACTCTTGTTGCCCAGGGGGGTGGAGTGTAATGGTGTGATCTCTGCTCATCACAACCTCCGCCTCCTAGGTTCAAGCGATTCTCCTGCCTCAGCCTCCTGAGTAGCTGGGATTACAGGCATGTGCCACCATGCCTGGCTGATTTTGTATTTTTAGTAGAAATGGGGTTTCTCCATGTTGGTCAGGCTGGTCTTGAACTCCCAACCTCAGGTGATCCACCCGCCTCAGCCTCCCAAAGAGATGGGATTACAGGCGTGAGCCACTGTGCCCAGCCCCTTTGTCTCTTTCTTATGGTCTATATGCTGCACGGTATCCCAAGATTATCCTCAAGTCAGAATCTGTTCTTTCCAGAGGATTTTGGTCTTCAGTCCTGTTTTAATGTCATTGAATTACTCTGTTGCAGAATTCCAGTTGGAAGAGTTTACCACACCTCCAACAGGTTTGGAATCTACTGGTTGCAGTCTGGGCTGGGCTTAAAACAGCCCTGACCACAAAGTGAAAGGAGTCTTAAGTGTGACTTTCTTTTTTTCTTTTTTATTTTTTTGAGATGGAGTCTCGCTCTATAGCCCAGGCTGGAGTGCAGTGACATGATCTCGGCTCACTGCAACCTCCGCCTCCCAGGTTCAAGCAATTCTCTTGCCTTAGCCTCCTGGGTAGTTGGGATTACAGGCGCATACCACCACGTCCGGCTAATTTTTGTATTTTTAGTAGACACGGGGTTTCTCCATGTTGGTCAGGCTGGTCTCAAATTCCTGACCTTGTGATCCACCCGCCTTGGCCTCCCAAAGTGCTGGGATTACAGGCGTGAGCCATTGCACCCGGCCACTTGTGTGTGACTTTCACTATAGCAAAAGTGAATCAGTCATTGTCTAAATCTACAGCGGGTCCTCACAGAATGTCATTTCCTTTCATGTTGTTTCCTTTACCGTTGATGGGAAAAAAAGTTGGTTCCCAGCCAGGGCCATTGTCTGTGTGGAGTCTGCTCATTCTCCCCATGTCTGTGTGGGTTTTTCCCAGGTGCTCAGTCTCTACCTACATCTCAAAGACATGCCTGTTAGGTTCATAGACCCAGTCTGCGTGAGTATCAGCGTGTGTGTGAATGTACCATGCAATAGGATGGCATCCTGTCCAGAGCTGCTTCCTGCCTGGTGCCCTGAGCTGCCAGGATAGGCTCTGGTTACTTAAGACCTTGAACTCAAATAATTGGGTAATAATTATCTCACTTGTTTTGATGAATCTATCTTAAATGTAGGTAGAGCTCACATTTATCTTAATTTTTCTTTTTCTTCCCTTTTTTTTTTTTTTGAGATGGAGTCTTGCTCAGTCACCCAGGCTGGAATGGAGTGGTGTGATCTCAGTTCACTGCAACTTCTGCCTCCCGGGTTCAAGCGATTCTCCTGCCTCAGCCTCCCGAGTAGCTGGGACTACAGGCATGCGCCACCACACCTGGCTAATTTTTGTATTTTTAGTAGAGACTGGGTTTCTCCATGTTGGCCAGGCTGGTCTCGAACTCCTGACCTCAAGTGATCCACTTGCCTTGGCCTCCCAAAGTGCTGGGATTACAGGCATGAGCCACCATTCCCAGCCTGTCTTAATTTTTTATATTGGAAGTGTTTTTATTTAGAAGTTTGGTGATATTTTTGTGACAAGAAATATGCCACAGGAACTTACCTCTTTTTTATTTTTTTTTAGACAGGTTCTTCCTCTGTCACCCAGGCTTCAGTGCAGTAGCACAACCATGGCTCACTGTAGCCTTGACCTCCCAGGCTCAAGCAATCTTCCCACCTCAGCCTCTGAAGTAGCTGGTGCTATAGGTGTGCACCACCAAGGCTGGCTAATTTTTTTGAAGAGCTGGGGTTTCACTATGTTGCCCAGGCTGGTCTTGAACTTCTGGGCTCAAGTGATCTTCCAGCCTCAGCCTCCCAAAGTGTTGGGATTACAGGCATGAGCCCAAGTGCCCAGCCTCAACTCTTGTTTATACCAATTAGCCTATGGTAAAATTGGTTTCGTTATACGTCATTTCACTTAAAGTCACAGTTTCCAAGAACCTATCACTGATGTTAAGTGAGGACTTACTGTACTTCACTGAAAAAACAAAACAAAACAGGCCACACACGGTGGCTCACGCCTGTAATCCCAGCACTTTGGGAGGTTGAGGCGGGCAGATCACGAGGTCAGGAGATAGAGACCATCCTGGCTAACATGGTGAAACCCCGTCTCTACTAAGAATACAAAAATATTAGCCAGGCGCGGTGGCGGGCACCTGTAGTCCCAGCTACTCAGGAGGCTGAGGCAGGAGAATGGCGTGAAGTTGGGAGGCAGAGCTTGCAGTGAGCTGAGATTGCGCCACTGCACTCCAACCTGGGCGACAGAGCGAGACTCCAAAAAAAAAAAAAAAAAAAACCTGAGGTCAAGAGTTTGAGACCAACCTGGCCAACATGTTGAAACCCCATGTCTACTAAAAAATCCAACAAATTAGCTGGACGTGGTGGTATGCAACTGTAATTCCAGCTACTTGGGAGGCTGAGGCAGGAGAATCTCTTGAACCCAAGGAGGTGGCGGTTGCAGTGAGCTGAGGTTGGGTCATTGCACTCCACCCAGGGCAACAAGAGCAAAACTCCGTTTCAAAAAAAAAAGATGCTTTTAAGCTTTTAAAAAATTACCGCTAACAACAAACCACAACCCCCACCACCCCACAATATTTTGGTCAATTTTAAGTTTAAATCAATTTAGAATAAAAGATATAATGTTCCCAGAAAGCCTCTGCCTATAGTATGCAGATAGGACCTCTTTCTCAAATACTCAGCTCTCAATATTCACAACTACAGTTATCTTCACGCCTTGTTTGCAAATTAGCTCTTAGCTCAGAGCTAATAACTTTTACTTGAGGGAAACAAGTCAGTCTTAGATGTCTTCCCTCCCTTGACTTTAGTCACTAAGTGCAATTTTTTTTTTTTTTGAGAAAGGGTCTCACTCTGTCACCCAGGTTGGAGTGTAGTGGGGCAGTCACAGCTCACTGCAGCCTCAATTTCCTGGCCTCAGGTGATCCTCCTGCCTCAGCCTCCCAAATAGCTGGGACTACAGGTGTGTGCCACCACACACAGCTAATTGTTTTGTTTTTTTTGTAGAGACAGAGTTTTGCCATGTTGCCCAGGCTGGTCTCGAACTCCTGAGTTCAAGCCATCTTCCAGTCTTGGCCTCTCAAAGTGTTGGGATTACAGGTGTGAGCCACCATGCCTGCTGCATAGTTTTTGAAGCATACTTTAAAACAATCTTTTGTCTTGGTTCTGTCAAATACAGAATTTTGATAGCAGGAAGACAGGTTTATTGAACACTTTATTCATGAAGCAATTCAAGTAATAAACTCAAACTTTTGTCTGCTATTTGCCTTTTTAAAATAAATCAGCATATCTTTTGGCAGTTTGCATTAAAAATAGTGTAGCTATGAGGATAACCTTAAAAAATAAGTTGCAAAAAACAAGATCAATTTATTGCCAATCTTTCCCAAGATGTTTTAATTTTTATTATTCTTTTTGGTCTTTGCCCCTCTGACAATTCCATGGTAGGTTTAGAAAACGATGGATAATTCACTCTGCCTCTTCCTACCTAACCCATATTTATCAGTCTGTTGCAGTGGCTCCATTTTTAGTTCAAAAGGCACTGAACAATTTTGGGGAGAGGAGATACAAACTTCCTCATAACCACTGAATAGCTACCATGCCTAAGAAAAATGTTAGGGAAAGGTCTATTGTTCCCCACCTACCCCTTTTCCTAATTTGAAAACAAGGAGCAGTCGGGGGAGGGAAGGGGTCCCACATGGAGGTCTATGTTCCTGACAAGGGTTAATTTACTAGCGAGCAAGCCTTGTCCAGAGTCATTGCAGCCAATGGGGGTTCACCCTGATGAGGTAATGCTTTCAACTCATGTTTCATTGGTTGCCCTTCTCATTACTTGGCGTTCTCTCGGAGGCTGAGAAGTGGGGAGGGCTAGTTGTAGCGCTAATAGGAGCTTTTTCCTCGTGACAGGTACAGGTGGTGCTTACAGAAATGCTTGGAGCCACGAAAATCTGTTTCCTCTTCTCAGATGTCCTGCATCTTGAGCCAGTTCTTCCACCTGGGGCTGCAAGGGCATCTCCTAGTCTGGCCGTTATCCCCATTCCTCTGTCAGCTCCCAGGGTTCTCAACAATGAGAACATGAGTGAGGGGAAGTTGACTTATACCCTGAGGAGCCGGAGCCAAAAAGAAAGCCTGCCAGTCCTCGGATGAATACGTCCCATTACGTTTGTCAGCCTAGGACCTTGGGATCCAGCAGCCCTTCATTTCTGAACCCTCTTTGACGGGGGAGCAGCAGCTGTGAGTCAGGCTGACTGCCTCTACACCTCCCCTACAAAGCTCGAGGGGTCATGAGGAAAACTAGGGCTTCCTTCCAGCCATCTTTCTTCTATCCATGGTCTTCTATTTTGCTTACCTCCATTCTGGGAAATTGTGTTGTCTGCACTGTAGTGGCACATATAGGTCCTTTGACAAGCAAACAACTGTTTACCATGTTTCTGAAAGAACTTGGAGAACCCTCATCCCTGCTTTTTTTCTTTTTTTCTTTTTTTCTTTTTCTTTTTTTTTTTTTTTGGCCCTGCTCTTACAACAAGATCTGTATCAACTTCCTGGCAAGGAGGGAGGAAGCACCAGATTCTAGGCTGTGTGTAAACAGGGAAACTGAGGCTGGGGAGGATGAAGTAATTGTGGATGAAGTGGGGATAATAGACAAGTGCTTGTCTCTGACAACCAGCCTAATTTTTGGCCATAAACTCATGCTTCTTTTTACACACTTGAGAATTAGACAACAAAGAAGCAACAGGGTATATTCAGTATGGTTAAACTCTCTGAAGTTTTTCAGGGCTGACTTGCAAAGAAGAAGTGGACATTGTACATATGAATGAGACTTTACAACCACATGCGGGAAAGTTAGTAGAGGCTTCTAAGAGAGAACTGAAGCAGAACAGATTCTGTGGGCTCTGAAAGCTGAGGGAGACGGCATTGCAGAGGTGAACGGGCTGCCTGGGTTGCTCTGTAGAGTATGTGATCAAACCGATTTGAAACAAAATTTAGCTGTAAGCATCAGTCCTGCTTTTCATGGTTGAACTTCACAGAATGAGATTCTGGGAGTCAAAGGGAATAACATTTTATGCTATTTTACTGTGTAATTCTGGGAAAGGAGCTCTTTTTCTGTGACCCAGTTTAACTTTCTAAAAATAAAAAAAAACACCCTGAATTCAAAGGAAGAATCTGTAAGTGAAAGGCTCACTTTACGTGTTTAAAAGGTTGGCGACGGCATTTAAGATTCTGATGACATTGTCTGAAATTTCCTGAAACTAACCCCATTCAGGCCTCCACCCACAGGATAAAGGTCTTCTTTCTATCCTGGTCTCACTCTACCCCTCCCACCCCCAAATGACAGGGATCTGACCCTCCCTAGATTATATTTATCACAGAAAACAAGAAAGACCAGGAAGAAAGGGCATAGTAAAAAGTAGGAGGCTTCCACATCAATGTGGAATCATAATATGTACTTACAGGATGATCAGTTAATACATTTGAGAAAGTGCTTTGTAAGCTGTTACCATGAAAACAAAATGGATTATGCTCCTCAAAAGAATATAAACTGTTTTACTCATTGTGTTCTACCCCAGTGCCTGGCACTTTTTTGGGGGTGATTTTTTATTGGATTTTTTTTTTTTTTTTTTTTTTTTTTTTTTTTTTTTAGAGATAGGGTCTCACTGTGTTGCCCAGGCTGGTCTTCAATTGCTGGACTCAAGTGATTCTCCTGGCCAAAGTGTTGGGATTACAGGCCAGGCTTGAGCCACTGTGCCCAGCTGGTGGGAAATTTTAATTATATGAAGGTAGAAAGAATAGTTTAATGTGACTCCATATATCCATCTCCCAGCTTCAGACTATTATCAACCCATCACATAGGTGCTTAATGTTTTGGGAAGAAAAGAAGGGAGTTTGGCAGTTTCTTAGACGTAATTTACCCCATCTTTCTTTCTTGGGAAGATTATGATCAACATGAACAATAAATCAGAAAAATCACATTTCCTGTACTTTACATTAGGTTAATCACATTTGAGAAAAACAAAAGTGAAAGTCTTTTTTTTTTTGAGATGGAGTTTTGCTCTTGTCACCCAGGCTGGGGTGCAATGGCACGACCCCGGCTCACTGCAACCTCTGCCTCCTGGGTTCAAGCGATTCTCCTGCCTCAGCCTCCTGAGTAGCTGGGATTACAGGCATGTGCTACTATGCCCAGCTAATTTTGCATTTCTAGTAGAGACAGAGTTTCACCATGTTGGTCAGGCTGGCCTTGAACTCCTGACCTCAGGTGATCCACCCGCTTTGACCTCCCAAAGGTGCTGGGATTACAGGCATGAGCCACTGTGCCTGAACAGAAATTCTTTTTTTTGAGATAGGGTCTCACTCTGTTGCCGAGGCTGGAGTGCAGTGCCATAGTCATGGCTCACTGAAGCCTTGACTCCCCACACTCAAATGATCCTCTCAACTCAGCCTCCTGCGTAGCTGGGACTACAGGTGTGTGTCACCGTGCCCGACTAATTTTTGTATTTTTTTGGGTAGAGATGAGGGTTTCACTATATTGCCCAGGCTGGTCTTGAACTTCTGGGCTCAAGCGATCCACCCACCTCAGCCTCCCAAAGTGCTGGAATTACAGGCTTGAGTCACCACGCCTGGCCAAAAGTGATATTCTTAGGAACACCTTTCAATCTGAACTACATAGTAAAAGGATTATAAAATAATCATTTTGGTTTTTTTTTTTTTTTTTTTTTTTTTTTTTTTTTTTTTTTTTTTGGAGTCTTGCTGTCGCCCAGGCTGGAGTGCAGTGGCGTGATCTTGGCTCACTGCAATCTCCGCCTCCTGGGTTCATGCCATTCTCCTGCCTCAGCCTCCCGAGTAGCTGGGACTACAGGTGCCTGCCACCTCGCCCGGCTAATTTTGTTCTTGTATTTTCAGTAGAGACGGGGTTTCACCGTGTTAGCCAGGATGGTCTCCATCTCCTGACCTCGTGATCCGTCCACCTCAGCCTCCCAAAGTGCTGGGATTACAGGTGTGAGCCACCGTATCCAGCCATCATTTTGATGTGATAAAAACCCAGACCTTAAACTTTGTTACTCATGCCTGTGATTAAAAGTTCGCCATGCCTAAGGGTTTTTTTTGTTTTAATTATAGCACAGCAGGAGGGTGTTGGGAGGTGCCTGGAAACCCTGGCTGTGACTGGTCAGGCCATCAGCCTGCTGCCTTGACTGTAATATGGATGGAATGGGGCCAAGGTCTCCATGTTTCTTGGTGTTTCTACTTTCTTTATCTTCGACCCTTGTACTGAAGGCTGTTATCTCTAAGGACACAGATAATAGGCAGCCAAGTTTGCCTGAACAGACTTTTTGGCAGTTTCCAACCTTGTTTTCTGGAGGGGAAGAAGAGGGTGGTGAAAAGCCTACCACTCTTGCCGACTGAAAGGGGCATCTACAGGGCTGAGTGTTTGGGTGAGTCACTTTCCTTTGGTCCTATCACATTTAGGTAAAATGAAGCTTTTTGGTATAGCGATATAGTGGGGAATGTGCAGGTTTTAGAGTAAAATAGACCAGGGTTTGAATTTCCTCTCTATATGGTTCTCACATTTCTCATTTGCAAAATGGTTTAAGAAATACTTTATTTAAAAATACATAGTGTAGGGACCAGCACAGTCAGGTGCTCAATACATAGTTGCTACTTTTTGATGAAAATGAAGATGTTGCAATCAGAAAAATAGGCAATGGAAATGGACAGAGAATTCACTGACTAAGTAATACAACTGGCCAGGAAGCGTAACACTCAACTGTACTTGTAATTAGAGAAATGCAAGTTCAATAATGTGTGCCATTGTTTTTGCTCATTAGATTGGCTAAAAATATACATAAAGTCCATTTTTGGTGAAAGTTTAAGCAAATAGTCATTCTCATATATTTTTATGAAGCCTCTTTGGAGGTAGGTTTGGTAAAATATATTAAATTTTAACTGTGTTATTCTTTAATTCAACAATTTTGTTTCCAGGAATCTGTTCTACACAAATATACATGAGTATACAAACATATTGTAGTACTGTTTTTCATAGTGAAAACTATGAACAAATTTACTAATATGGATATATTTTTAAAGAATAATATGTGTAAAAAGCATATTAGAGTATTATACTATGATCCTATTTATGTTAAGGAAAAGATAATTGTGGGTGTACATTTTATAAATGTATGAAAAGAGGTCTGAGAGGATATATTTCACAAGGTTTACTTTTGGGGGAAGTAGAGTAAGATTAGGGTGAAGTGAGAGTTTTGCTTTTCATTCTTTTATCCCCCCATTAATATGCTACATATGCTTTTCTTTATTCTTCTAAATCTTTGAATTTTCCTAATGACTATGTATTATAATTTTTGGTGCCAAAAATCAGGAACAAATATGTATTATTTTTGTATTTGTAAAAACAATTTAACAAAAGGGTGAAGATGTGAATTTAGACTATCTGTAAGGTCCTCTGTAAGTACTTGCTAGACTCAACATCATGGTTGGGTAGAGACAGTTCTTGGATCTGGAAGGGTGGGAAGAGCTTACATTTAAGAAGCAAAACTTCCACTTCATGGTTTGGGGCTTGGATTTTTGGACCAATAAACCCAAGTGACCCCTTCTGAAGACAGTAGACAGTATGGGAGAGGTTAACAGGTGTTTCTGTAGTGTTGTCCTATCCAAGGTCCTCTATTTTTAAAAAAGAAAGGTCTTGGGCTTCTTTGGAAGAGGCAAGGCAGTCTCTGAGTTGCAGTATGTCCAAGTCCAAGATGGTGGGGCTGGCATAGAACCTTCCAAGTTCTTTCTGCCTCTTTGCTTCCTTTCAGTTGACATGTCAGATTTTTTGTTTATTTGTTTGTTTTTTTGACACGGAGTTTCGCTCTTGTTGCCTAAGCTGGAGTGCAGTGGCCCAATCTCAGCTCGCTACAACCTCCGCCTCCCGGGTTCAAGTGATTCTCTTGCCTCAGCCTCCCGAGTAGCTGGGATTATAGGGATGCGCCACCACGGCCAGCTAATTTTATATTTTTTGTAGAGACAGGGTTTCTCCATGTTGGTCAGGCTGATCTTGAACTCCCAACCTCAGATGATCTGTCCACCTCGACCTCTCAAAGTGCTGGGATTACAGGCATGAGCCATGTGCCCGGCCCTGTTTTTATTTGTTTTGAGGCAGGGTCTCCACTCTGTCACCCAGGCTGGAGTATAGTTGAGTGATCAGAGCTTACTGTGGCCTTGAACTCATGGACTCAAGCGATCCCCTCACCTAAGCCTCCCAGAAGCTGGGACTATGGGCACATACCACCACACCAGGCCAATGTTTAAATTTATTTTATTTTATTTTTGTAGAGAAAAGGGCTCACTTTGTTGCCCAGGTTGGTCTTGAACTCCTAGCCTCAGGCAATCCTTCCACCTCAGCCTCCTAAAGTGCTGAGATTATAGACATGAGCCACTGTGCCTGGCCCAGCATGTCAGATTTTATTAGATATTCTGGATCCCTAATAATGAAATTTTTCTTTAGGTTTTACGAAGCTTTCTCGGGTTATAAGTGCCCACAAACTTTTTGTAGTTTGCACATTTAGCTCCCAGCACTGTGGACAATATCTGAGTGAGAAAACAGACAAAACTTCTTATTGAAGATAGGAATGGAGGCTGACAGATGGAAAGTCCTGTTTTCCTGGGTAACTTACTCCAAATGAAAAGAGGTTTCATGGAGTTAAGAAATGTATCACTCTAGGCTGGGCGTGGTGGCTCACGCCCGTCATCCCAGCACTTTGGGAGGCAGAGGTGGGTGGATCATCTGAGGTCAGGAGTTCAAGACCAGCCTGACCAACATGGTGAAACCCTGTCTCTACTAAAAATACAAAATTAGCTGGGCATAGTGGCCCATGCCTGTAATCCCAGCTACTCGGGAGGCTGAGGCAGGAGAATTGCTTGAACCCAGGAGGCGGAGATTGTAGTGAGCTGAGATCGCACCATTGCACTCCAGCCTAGGCAACAAGAGCACAAAACTCTGTCTCAAGGAAAAAACAAAAACAAAAACAAAAAACAAGAAATGTATCACTCTGAAGCCGGACACAGTGGCTCGTACCTGTAATCCCAGCACTTTGGGACGCCAAGGTGGGCAGATCACTTAAGGCCAGGAATTCGAGACCAGCCTGGCCAACATGGTGAAATACCGTTTCTAT